GTCCTCGTCCTCGTCCTCCTCCTCCTCCTCCTCCTCCTTCTCCTCCTCCGCCTCCTCCTCCTCCTCCTTCTCCTCCCCCTCCCCCTCCCACTCCTCCTCCTCCCCCTCCTCCTCCTCCTCCTCCTCCTCCTCCTCCCCCTTGCTCCTCCCCCTCCTCCCCCTGCCCCCTTGCTCCCTCCCCCTTCCTCCTTACCCCCCCCCCCTCCAAGCCACATGGGGCCTCCGAGAAGCCGCCGACCCCCCCCCGAGTCCTCTTCGGTCTCGCCCAGCAGTGGCGCCGGGCCCTCCTCCGGCTCCCGGTCCAGCTCCCTGGGGCCGCGGGGCCTCCCGCGGAGGCTCCAACAAAACCATGTGGGTCGGGCGGGACGCCCTGAGCGTGAGAAGCGGGAGGACGAGGAGGAGCAGAAGGAGCAGAATGAGCAGAAGGAGCAGAAGGAGCAGAGATGAGCAGGAGGGGGATGGAGGAGGAGAGTAAGGATGAGCACAATAGAGGAGGAGGAGGAGGAGGAGGAGGAGGAGGAGGAGGAGGAGGAGGAGGAGGAGGAGGAGGAAGAGGATGAGGAGGAGAAGGAGGAGGAGGAGGAGAAGGAGGAGGAGGAGGAGGAGGAGTGCAGGTACAATAAGGAGGAGGCGGAGGAGGAGGCGGAGGAGGAGGAGGAGGAGGAGGAGGAGGTGGGAAGAGGAGGAGAACGAGAAGGAGGAGGAAGAGGAGGAGAGGAGGCGGGAACAATATGGAAAAAGGGGGAAAAGGGAAGGGGAAAAGGGGGAGGAGGAGGACCAGTGTAAACCCAAGACTCGTCAACGATGTTGCAGCAAACACTCCCTCCAAGGTCCCTCTTCATAGGCTCCCACACGGATTCATTTTCACTGAAGCATATGCCCCGTTGGAGGACAACTGTTTGAAATTCTGGAATTGTGCCCAAACGCCACTTCTGGGACTTCAACGCCGCAAACCCCTGTTACTGTTGCGTCTTAACGATCCTGGATCGTGCCAGACCGCCATTCCTGGGACTTCAGCACCGCGCATCAGCGTGACTGCTGCGCCCTGCCATTCCGACATCATGCCAAAACACGATGTTTGGAGCGTTAACCGCTCCAAAACGAGGCGGGAGGGACGGGGGGAGGTGGTGAGGGAGGAGGGGAAGAGAAGAAGAAGGGGAGGAGGAGGAGGAGGAGGAGGTGGAGGAGGAGGAGAACCTTTGAAACTGGTGCAAAGTCTGCACACGAGGCCGCGTGGCGCTTGGGCGAGAGCCACGCTTTGAAAACACACCGCCCTGCCTCCGTGGAGCCCCCTGCAAGCTGGTCAAAGAGAGCGCGAGTGCGCGCGGCGCTGCGGCGACGGCCCGTGAAGCTCGTGCAAACCTCCACCTCCTCCTCCTCCTCCTCCTCCTCCTCCTCCTCCTCCTCCCCCTCCTCCCCCTCCCCCCCCTCCTCCCCCTCCCCCCCTCCCTCCCCCTCCCCCTCCCCCTTCCTCCTCCTCTCCTCCTCCTCCTCCTCCTCCTCCTCCTCCTCCTCCTCCTCCTCCTCCTGGAGACACCCTGGGTCTGGATACCTCCAGCCTGAAGGTTGCCCATCCTTCTCATGCGGGTTGGCTGTGGTGGTGGCGGTGGTTGAAAAAGCACCGCCCTCCACCCGTGACGCTCGTGCAAACCTTGAACACGAATGCGCTCGGCGCTAAGGCGAGAGCCGCGTGTTGAGAACGAGCCGCCCTCGGTCCGTGAAGCTCTTGCAGATCGTTAGGAGCGAACGTGCGCGGCGCGGCGGCGACAACCACACTTTGAAAAAGCACCGCCCTCCACCCGTGAAGCTCGTGCAAACCTTGAACACGAATGCGCTCGGCGCTAAGGCGAGAGCCGCGTTTTGAAAACGGACCGCCCTCCATCCGCGAAGCTCTTGCAATATATCAAGAGCGACTGTGCGCGGCGATGAAGCGACAACCACATTTTGAAAGCGTGCCGCCCTCCATCCGTGAAACTGTTGCATAACTAAACCTTCAGGACAACTTCAGGATCAGAAATTGCAAAGAACTCTCTGTCGAAACGCCCAGCCCGCCCATTCGACCAGACTCGGGGTGCGACAGGGAGGAGTTATCCATAAGGAAGAGGAGTGAAGGAGGAGGAGGCGGAGGAGGAGGAGGAGGAGGAGGAGGAGGAGTGGGAAGAGGAGCAGGAGGAGGAGGAGGAGGAGGAGGAGGAGGAGGACGGACTCGGAGGAGATGCCGGCAGAGGAGGAGGGACTCGGAGGACGGACTCGGAGGAGATGCCGGCAGAGGAGGAGGGAGGCGAGAGCAGCAGGGGGAGGTGGCCGAGAGCAGCCGGCACGCCGGGAGGACGGCGGAACGCCATGGGCGCCTCCTGCTCTGAAGGCCCGCTGCCGTGGCCGCCAGCAGGCACACCACCGCCGCCGACGTCGCGGCGGCCCGCGCCAGGTCGCCGGGCGAGCCCCGCATCGGGCCGCCCAGGAGGTCGGTGGGCGGGTCCCGCGCCGGGCCGCCAGGGGGGTCCTGCGGCGGGCCGCCTCCTGCGGCTGCTGCTGCTCCTCCAGCGCCTCCTCCCGCCCAGCTGCTGATCGTCCTCCTGCTTCTGCTGCTGCTGCTCCTCTTCCTCCTGCTGCTCCTCCTCCAAGGCTCAGAGGGGCTACCCGCCCTGCAAAAACCTCGCCAGCACACCCCCGCCACCACGCCCCCACCGCGCCTGACACCGGCAGCTTCGTGGCGTCCTGGGCCTAGGTTCGTGACGGCCACCCACCCTGCAAAAACCTCGCCAGCACCCCCCCACCGCGCTCGTACCGCGCCTGACACCGCCAGCTTCCTGGCGTCTTGGGCCTGAGATCTTAGGGGCCACCCACCCTGCAAAAACCTCGCCGGCACCTCTCCCACCACGCCCCCACCGCGCCTGACACCGCCAGCCTCCTGCCGTCATGGGCCTAGGTTCTTAAGGAACACCTACCCTGCAAAAACTTCGGCGTCACACCCCACCACGCCCCCACCGCGCCTGACACCGCCAGCCTCCTGGCGTCTTAGGCCTAGGTTCGTAACGGCCACCCACCCTGCAAAAACCTCGCCGACACCTCCCCCCACCACGCCCCCACCGCGCCTGACACCGCCAGCCTCCTGGCGTCATGGGTCTAAGTTCTTGCGGGCCTGCAACAACCTAGCCAGCACCTCTCCCACAAGGCCCCCGCCGCGCCTGACACCGCCAGCCTCCTGGCGTCCTGGGCCTAGCTTCTTAAGGGCCAACCACCCTGCAAAATAACCTCGCCGGCACCCCCTCCACTGCGGCCCCACCGCGCCTGACACCGCCCGCCTCCTGGCGTCCTGGGCCTAGCTTCTTAGGGAGGGCACCCACCCTGCAAAAACCTCGCCATCACCTCTCCCACCACGCCCCCACCGCGCCTGACACCGCCCGCCTCCTGGCGTCCTGGGCCTAGGTTCCTAAGGGCCACCCACCCTGCAAAAACCTCGCCGTCACCCCCCCCCACCGCGCCTGACACCGCCAGCTTCCTGGCGTCCTGGGCCTAGGTTCTTCAGGGCCACCCACCCTGCAAACACCTCTTCGGCACCCTCCCCACCACGCCCCCACCGCGCCTGACACCGCGCCGCCTCCTGGCGTCCTGGGCCTAGGTTCTTAGCGGCCACCCACCCTGCAAAAACCTGGCCAGCCCCTTCCCCACCACGCCCCCGCCGCGCCGCCTCCTGGCGTCCGGGGCCTAGGTTCTTAGCGGCCACCAACCCTGCAAAAACCTCGCCGGCACCCTCCACCACGCCCCCACCGCGCCTGACACTGCCAGCTTCCTGGCGTCCTGGGCCTAGCTTCTTACGGGCCACCCACCCTGCAAAAACCACGACAGCACCTCTCCCACCACGCCCCCACCGCGCCTGACACCGCCAGCTTCCTGGCGTCCTGGGCCTAGGTTCTGAAGGGCCACCCACCCTGCAAAAACCTCGGCGGCACCTCTCCCACCACGCCCCCACCGCGCCTGACACCGCAGGCCTCCTGGCGTCCTGGGCCTAGGTTCGTAACGGCCACCCACCCTGCAAAAACCTCTTCGGCCCCCCCCAACCGCGCTCGTACCGCGCCTGACACCGCCAGCCTCCTGGCGTCCTGGGCCTGAGTTCTTAAGGGCCACTCACCCTGCAAAAAACCTCGCCGGCACCCTCGCTACCACGCCCCCGCCGCGCCTGACACCGCCAGCCTCCTGGCGTCCTGGGCCTAGGCTCTTAGGGGCCAGCCACCGTGCAAAAACCTCGGCGGCACCCCCCCCCCCACCACGCCCCCACCGCGCCTGAAACCGCCAGCCTCCTGGCGTCCTGGGCCTAGTGGCTGGCTACCCACCCTGCAAAAACCTCGCCAGCACCTTCCCCACCAAGCCCCCACCGCTGCTGACACCGCCAGCCTCCTGGCATCCTGGGCCTAGGTTCTTCTTGGGGTGCCACTCACACTGCAAAAAACCTCGGCGGCACCCCCCACCACGCCCCCTCCGCCAGCCTCCTGGCGTCCTGGGCCCTGCAAAAACCTTGCTGGGCCCCCCCCCCACCGCGCTTCCACCGCCCAGCCTTCTGGCGTCCTGGGCCTGGACTTTCACGGGCCACCCACCCTGCAAAAACCTTGCGTCCAGGGCCTAGCTTCTTCGTCTTCTTCTTCTTCTTACTACGACTGCTACTACTATGACGACTACTACTACTACTACTACTACTACTACTACTACTACTACTACTACTACTACTACTACTACTACTACTACTACTACTACTACTACTACTACTACTACTACTACTACTACTACTACTACAACTACTACTACTACTACTACTACTACTACTACTACTACTACTACTACTACTACTACTACTACTACTACTACTACTACTACTACTACTACTACTACTACTACTACACTACTACTACTACTACTACTACTACTACGACTACTACTACTACTACTACTACTACTACTACTACTATTACTACTACTACTACGACTACTACTACTACTACTAC